ATTCGGGAGCAAAATCGACACATTTATTGATAAACAATGCAACGTTAGAAGTTCCTTCTGATTCTGCAAAACAGCTGGCATCAGCTACATCGATGGCGGAAATTCGACTGCATTTCCATATGGCAACTGCAAAATCTATCATTTATTCAACATATGCACCAGGGTATAATCAACATAAAGGCCTTTCGTGTCTTTTCCGACAGGATATCCAGCGATGACGAATGCACAGTTTACTACTCTTGGTCCAGCCACGTATCGTCTAGTTTATACAGCAGCAACATGAGCCATGTACAAGTATTCTCCATTTTTACACCAGGATTTACAGGAAGACCTACGTCTGGTGGCATTTTGGTGGATTGGGTGGATCTGATCAAGCTTCGGAGATAAAGCCAGTACCGTTCAGTCAGCAGTAAGTAAAACCTGGGACATAATATATTATACAAGAGGGGCGAAAGATACCAGAGGGACATTCAAACTCATAAATCGAAAATAAACTGACAACGCCATGGCTAAAAATGAAAAAGACAAACAAACAAATAGTACACAAAACACAACATAGAACACTATAGAATAGTACCAGGTAAAACCCAAGTATACAGACTGGTACAACGAATTCTTGGCCGATTATTTCAAAAACTTAAATGAAGATATTTTTATTAAAAGTATTGGCAAAACAGAGTTTCTAAGTGACTTGTTAATACCTAATTCCTTCATCAAGCAGTTTATGTAATATGATTTACACACACAGACAATGTTGTGTGGGGCTTTATCTGCGAGCACAACAACATGTTTGTCATCGAGGTAGGACAGGTGTTTAGCAACATTTGGGTCTTTAACGATCGATGTAGCATGTGTATTCATAGACTTAAAGGAGTCGTGATTGTCCTTTAATAACGATTTTTACCAAGTTCATTTATTTATTATCCCACATTTTCTTAGAAATTATAATAAAAAGACTGAGTCAGAGACTCTGAAAGAGTGAAACTTTAGTTGGTGAAAATAATCAGCAAATTTGTCAACAAGCCGAAATTGTTTGTCGATTCCTGATATGAGTTAAATATTGCCCCAAAATGAAATTAATTTTTACCGATTTTTGCCTTTTGGGGCAAACATATAGATAGAGAAAAACTGTAACAGTCTGAATGAAGACATGTCACCATATCCTGACGTAATTCTAAATCTGAACCAACAATCTTTTCTCTTATACTCAAATTCCTCATCGAAAGCTTAGAAGCAGCACATTTTACTAATTTTAAGTCTGTTGGTCTCGCTGGTTTACATATAGCATTATCTTCAAGTGTTTCAGAATATGTATTGTCATCATGGGAATTCTTCATTTGTCACAGCAATATGTATTGTCATCATGGGAACTCATCAATTGTCACAGCAGTATGTATGGTCATCATGGGAACTCATCAATTGTCCCAGCAATATGTATTGTCATCATTGGAACTCTTCAATTGTCCCATCAATATGTATTGTCGTCATGGGCACTCTTTAATTGCCCCAGAAATATATATTGTCATCATAGGAACTCTTTAATTGTCCCAGAAATATATATTGTCATCATGGGAACTCTTCAAGTGTCCCAGCAATATGTATTGTCATTATGGGTACTCTTCTTCAATATCCCAGCAATATGTATTGTCATCATGGGAAATCTTTCAATTGTCCCAGTAATATGTATTGTCATCATGGGAACTCTCAACTGTCCCAGCAATATGTATACTGTCATCATGGGAACTCTTCAATTGTCCCAGCAATATTGTCATCACGGGAACTCTTTAATGTCCCAGCAATATTGTCATCATAGGAACTCTTCAAGTGTCCCAGCAATATGTATTGCCACCATGGCAACTCTTCAAGTGTCCCAGCAATATGTATTGTCTTCATGGGAACTCTTCAAGTGTACCAGCAATATGTATTGTCGTCATGGGAACTCAATATTTGATGGAAACTTTTCTTAATAACAAATTGATATATTTATATCTTTCGCGGCTGTTTGCCAATTTTTTGTGGTATAGTTGTATTGTTTTATCTTTCTGCAGGAAAAATGAAAATCCTAATCAATTAAGTATATGTAATGCATTATAATCTAGTTTTTATTTTCGTAGAGTGGCTATTGTTGTATATGCACAAAGAATCAGGTGAGCGAATTGGGCTCTCTAAAGCCTCTGGTATTTTTTACTTTTTAAGTGTTTAATTTATTTTTTATGTAAATATTCTTTAATCATACTATAAATTTAATGTTGTTTTGCTCTTATCCATATGATGATACTAACATTTCCACGTGGAAAATAAGAACAGAGGGGCATCCTATATAAACTACTATTATTGTAGTATCATATAGATAAGAGCAATAACACATTAAATAAGTAAAAATAGGTTAAAATATCAAAGAATATTTATTAAATAAAATATTAAAACACAAAATCAAAAACAAATATTTAAAAAAAGGGGTCCATTCCCCAAGTGCTGTGGTAAAAAACACCACTGCAGCTTTACTTGGGTTTGGATATTTCACATCTTGATCTCTTTGTTTAATGGCATTTAAGCTGATTATTCACCTACAATTACAGATCTAGGTTCAAAATCAGTTTAAATCCCATAAAATTAGTTCTCATGACCATTACTTGCAGGCTTCTTTATAAACATGACGTTGTTAATAACTACTAGTATCTACTTTAGTTCATATGATAACTTTTAGATGAAAATGAATTGACCCATATTTGGGATGGAACTGCTTAATTCACCTTCATAATACCACCGTCGAACTAAAAGCTCAGAGAGCCAAATAAATACAAATACATGCAGTGGTTAACAATATTTTAAGTAATATATTTTGTTTACAGGTCACCCTTTTGTTGACAAAAGTTCTGTGGGAACTAGACAAAGTTTGTAATTGTAGACTTCCTATGAGCAGTGTATGTAATGTGCGAATCCTAAAATATCATTTTTACTGTATCTGTGATGAATTTCTGATGTAGAATGATAAATAAACAGATGACAAATTCAAGATTTTTGAATAAAATAAGAAATAATATATAATGTGTACTGTTTTATAAATTCATGATAAAGGTATGAGATGCGGACGGGTTCTCATCGCTCCTACGGCCATCCAGGTGCAAAATTGATACACAAATAGATAAATATTAAGAAAAGTTCACGAACAGAGTGTGCAAGAGATTTCAAAGTAGCAGTTAAGTTTCATTTGCAGAAAAATGTACCTTTTAACATAATTATTAATGTTATTTAACTTAAAACAGGTTTTGTTATTCAGCTTCTTGATACTGAATCAAATTCCACTATGCTGTTTTCGTTATGCGATTCATGTTTACTGTCGAATAATGATACTAGACTTTCATTTTCACTGTAGGGCGATTCATTTCTATTGTATATGCGATGCATTTTCACAGAAGGAAATTAATTAATTTTCATCATATAAAGTCTTAATTCAGCCGACTCTCTTACAAAATTTATGAAGTCAGAAGGTTTGATTATATATGCATACTTAGTGAGTGAAAGTCTGAGGTAATATATCAATAAATTCCTTAAACATGGTGTTTATTGCTAATATAGTCAATTCTATTTTCTCAAATAATTTGTCCTGATCTATATGTAGGATAAAATTTATTCTTTCCTATGACATGTCATCATTAAATACATATATCTTGGACAGTTAAGCCAATCCACGTCACCGGAAAAGTTTCTGTTTCGGTCTAAATCTACATCGCATACTAATAAATTAAACGTCATTAGAGCTAATTTCCTAATGCTTGTAGTTAAAAGGTGTGGTTGGCCTTGATTGTGTAAATGTTGCCTAAGCATTGTAATTAAGATTGAGCAAACGTTTATACAAACAAAGCAAGCAAGCCAACCAAACCTTTAAACTACAAGCGTTACGAAAATAGCTCTTATGGATGCATTTGAGATAACAAAGAGCATTCACAAAACGATCTTCATTTCACGATTGAATGAGTGGAAACGTTTTCATCTTGCACAAACAATTGACGCTTGGATGACTGGATAATTGATATTTATTATGCCATTGCGTATAAATTTTATGCAGTAAAGAAAGTTCTGACTAACAGTCGAGTCACCTCAAATATGCTTGAATTTCATATATTTACACCAAAGACTAATTGACTAACTGTTCAGTTAAGTATTCAAAGTTTACTGCTCCTGGCAGCATTGTATATCATTTATATTAACCGAACACCGTGTGACTATTTTAAATAGACAGGTCTGGGAATTACTTGTAAACATCGCGAAACAAACACTATGTGTAACTCAAACTTGATTAAACTACAAATAGAGCATAGTTGTTTGGCTCTTTCACTAAATGCGACCGTGTATTTTGTGCTTTGTTGTTGTTAAAATACATAATACGAATGAGAAACCCGTTGTTTTGATTTTATTTGAAGACATTTAGTTGAAAAACTAACCTCAGAATTTTGACACTGTACGATTCATTCTCTTTGTAGTTTGTTTTCTTTCTTTAGTACCGTTCGTTGTACATTCTTGTACTGTTCGTTGTTCAAAAGCCTATCAATACGGTAGAAATATGTATGACACAGCATAACAAATGTTCAAAGCTTTTTTATGCGAGTTATAAAACTTTTCAAAGAAAACTTGTCATAGAAAAACGTTATATTCATGGATGTTCTGCTCCAGTAAATTTTCGGATCCATGACAAGTTAATATCAAACTCACCAACCATTAAAAAAGTAAGTTTTTTTGTTAAAGTTCCAATTGAAATTAAGGATGATTTCAAAATGGAATAAAGCATAGCAAATAAACACAGCTATCTTCTTCATGTCCACCAAAGCTGGTGTTTCTTAAGATAATATGGAAAATAACATCAAGAAAACCATTTCCTGCATAACAAAAATGTGTGGTCCTTTAAAGACCTCCACAGAACTTCCATCTCTGCTAAATTAACTGAATCCCCTTTCCTGCTATATTTTGCTTCTGCATAAAGATAAAAGCAACAACATCCAGTCTTTTTACATAATCATTTATTTCAAGTTTTATACCTTGCAAAATGCATATGAAAATAAAAGGATTTTTTGTATATAAATATCAAAAAGTATTCAGAAAACAATAACATGTAACATTTACAATGTAAATGAAACCAAAATCGTATGTATTAAAATCATTAAATTAATTTTACTTCATTATCAATATGCATATATTTTCATTTCTGTCAATGAAAACATGACTTTCTTGTATATAGTAAATTAAAATTTACTTGTCTCGCTCTGTAGTTTTTGATACAAGACTTAGGCATGCTGTTTCTGGCAAAATATACAATTGTTAAGTTACACCAGTTAAAAGCAATCTTTAAAAATCATTTGCATCTTCGTCTTTTGAAGCGTTAACAAAAATGGCCGCTGTTTATATTCTAGCATAGCAACGTAAATTGGGGTTATCGGTCATGCGCATAAATTGTGCATCTTCCAACTTCCGGGGTCCGCTAAAACAAATAAATACAAGTTTAATAATGATAATATTATATCATTTTAAGGGGAACCACTATTTGTAGGTCAATGATAATTCATAGGCAGTTGTATCAGCATTGGCACATCTTATTTCCACCCCCTCAGTGATGGGTCCATTAACTTTTCCATATTCTACATAAAGTACCACTAATGGTTAGTCAATATTTTGTCGGATTCACAAATCTTATCTCCATGGAGATAATTTGAAACTGTCCCCTCAGACATGGTCCATTGACTTTTTAGCTTTTCCATAGTTTTCAGGCTGAAATTTGTAATTAAGCTAGTTTAAGGGGATCACTAATTGCAAGTCAAGGATATTTAGTAGGCAGTTGTATAAGCATTTGCATGTCTCATGTCCATGGAGATTATTTGGCCATGCACCTCAGGCATAGTCCCCTGAATGAAATTTTGCATAGTTTATATGTCAATATGTTGCCATTCAAATTTCAACATTTCATTATACTTCATTATCAACATTTCATTATACTTCATTATCTAACGAAATTTCAAACCGGCAAGACATAAATCTGTGTCTGGCTTGTGGAATGGACCCCATTTTTCTATTTTTTTATTAGTTAATATTCTTTAACATTTTAACTTTTTTCACTTGTTTAAAGTGTTCTTGATCTTATCCATAGGATATTTAGATAACAGTAGTTTATATATGATGCCCCCCTATTCTTATTTCCCAAAAGTGTGAAAAAAAAGGTTAAAATGAAGAATCAAGAAGGAAGTTTATGCCTGGCAGAGGAAATAATGAGCTGTGCCATGACCGCATGATACGCCCGTCGCTTTTTAAAAGAATAATGTTCCATAACACCTCAATGTTATATCAGAAATTTAAAAAAAAATAATGGGAGGTTATTTTAATAGATATAAACCAGTCACCAAAGTTTCATGAAAACTGCTCAAAGCACTTTTGAGTTATTGTCCGAAAACTGGAAAATCTCCCCTTTTTCATAAATAAAATCCCATAACTCGGAAATGTAAAATCTAAAATTTATATAAATCGAAAAAGAGCTCACATGATTATAAGTAATTCATCAAAGTTTCATAAAAACTGCTCAAAGCACTTTTGAGTTATTGTCCAAAAACTGGAAAATCTCTCTTTTTAAATGAATAAAAACCCCATAACTCGGAAATGTTAAATTTAAAATTTTTAAAAATCGAAAGGGACTTCATATCAATAGATATAAACAATTCACCAAAGTTTCATGAGAACTACTCAAAGCCTTTTTAGAGTTATTGTCCGAAACCTGGAAGATCCCACTTTTTTAATGAATAACACTCCATAATTCAGAAACGTAAGACCTAAAATTTATAAAAATCTAAAAAGAGCTCACGTCAATAGATATAAACAATTCACCAAAGTTTCATGCAAATTGGTTACAGCGTTTCTGAGTAATTGTCCGACATATTGACGACGGACGGACAACCATATACCATAATACGTTCCGTAAACGGACGTATAATAAAATCATTTGTGAGAACAACTTGTACAATCTAAACTAAATATCTTTCAGTTTGAGCAATATGTTTTCAGATGAAAAATCAGCTAATTCATCCCTTTAGTATTACACACAGGGTATACCAATCCCAAGGAGCAATTAATGAAGTTTGTAACCGTGGGTAGGCAAATTCTGGATCCAGTTCCTATGGAGCATAATTCCTCCATGGGAATCGATCCAGATTTTACTTACCCACTGTTACAAACTTTTCATTTATTGCTCCTCCTGATTCAGATCCCTCCGCGGTTTCAGATCAGGATTCCCAATGTCAGGTTGTGTGTAATATAAATACATTTATGGAAGTATTTCTTTTAGGTAAAACAAATACAATATCCTGCAAAACACCATTTAGATTAAAATCTTACATAAAAAGTAAAAATTTAGATGTTTAATTACATTTATCCTTTTTTTTTAACAATTATCTTATGTCCACATTATCACAGAAAATCAATTGCACAAACTATTATTGATCATAAAGTTGTCATTTTTATTCTTCATTTCCATAGTTTAATCAGTCCATTCATCCTGTTAAAGTTTTCATTGGTTCAACTTTCAAAGATTTAGCAAGTTCAATCTGTAATGAGAAATATGCATAATAAATATCTGTTTAAAAATATACTGTTACATGTCATAGTACACAAAAAGCTTTAGTGTCATTTACATGATAATGTAAATAGAAACTTTAAATCCCACTTCCACCTCCATATCTGACAAACAGAAATGATGCAACCATAACAAAATCACATCCATAAATTTTATAAAATAAGTAGTGTTTCACTCGTGTTTACCTGTAAATTGGTGCAAATACAAAACGCTGGCAGTATATGGGTCCATCTAACTTACAAGTGTTTAGAAGGGTTTATCTATAGATTAACAGACAGAAAGTTGTTTCATGTAACCTAAATTATTTATTAATAAATATTGTACTGATTTATCAATTAAAATAGAACCCCTACTAGAACATCTTTATACATATATAGATTTAATATTTTGTCTTTTCTGAAAAAAAATAGATCTTGTTAATTTTTCTGGCATATTAGAGAGTGGTTTTATGTAGTGTAGATAAAAAGCAATAGGTTAATTACTAAACCTATCACATCTATATATATATCAAACATTTGTCTATTCATTAATGAGGTCAAGTATCATTTGTGTATTGAGTTGCATGATAAAGTGTCTGCATAATCATGTAAGTCTGGAGTTAATATTAAAAAGTAATTTGGTCAATATGATTGGCATTTAAATGGGTTGTACATTTCAAGTAAGGCTCCACCTTGTCCCTGATTGTTTCTTCATGAGCTCAGTTATCAATCATACAGATACTGGTATTGTATCAGTACTCTTACCTAATAAAATTGAAAAAAAATAGCCAGCAAATTGACAAAACAAAATATAATACATACTTAAATGAACTGTTCTAAAGATTTTTAACCCAAATTTTGCCTGGTTCATATGTACAGTTATACACATACATAAGAACTAATGGGAACTTTATTTCAGTGTGTATAAATTTAGTACAAATAGTAGCTAATCTGTCTACTTTCTGTTTGGGAGGCTGGTGCCGTAGGAAAGGATTGGAACAAAAACCAAAACATTATTAAAAAAAATAAGACATCTCGTTAATCAAATAAAATTTGTCAAAATTAAATCATTTTTTTGTCTTGTGACTTTCTGTCCTACATTCTAATATGAAAACCCATTCAGTCTATAATTGAATGACTGGTAAAAAGTTACAAAGTTATTGATGTTATAAAAAAAACAGTTCGAACCTTATTGTTGACACCGACCAAATTTAGGCTTGCCATGTCTGGCTTCCATGACAAAATGTGGCAGGCTTGACAAAAATGTAAACAACTGTTACATTTGGTGGACAACTGTTGTGTTCCAAATTATGGAATCATTATGGAAGAGATTGTTGCAATTTATAGAACAAATCCTACCCCAAATTTGATTTGATTGGGGTGATAAGGTATTCCTCCTCTCTGGTCACACATGTTCATATGTCTCCTTTCTGGATCTCCAGCCACTAATACTGTATCATCTTCCCCTTCTGCCTAGAATACAATCATAGTATACCAGTTTATATATAGAAGCCATGCTTAATATACCCCAACTCATATTTTAAAGTATTTGCAAACCAGACACAAGTAACTGACAGATCCAAAAGTGCTCACACCTTACAACTTATCACTGTCAAGTTGCTGACCAAATATGAAGTCACTTTATTTAGTAATTTCTGAGGAAAGTGTGATGAAAATATTTATTGGAAGAAACAACGGACAGACAAACAGACAAGATGATTGCCACAAAACTCCCACTTCGAAAGTAGGTATAAATTTTAGAATTTTTTCTATCTCTTCATAACAATGTCAAAACACTTTTTTTCTTATCTGGGCCTTTTATAGCCAACAGTATGGTTTTTTTTTTCATTGTACAGTAATCTATAATTGTTTAGATCTGCGTCAGTTGAATTCTGGTGTATATTTGTCTCATTGGCAATCAAACCACATCTCCTTATTTTTCTTTTTAATTCTTGCAAGTTCATGTATTAAATCAGCTTGCTGATACATCAATTTTTGTAGTTTGCTTCACATTCCTCCCTTTTTACTCTTGTAAGGTCTGGCATTAAAGCACATTTCTTGTGTAAAAAGTGGCATACAATAATACTATCAATGTGAAACAATTATAATACTATTGATGTGATGCAATTATAATACTATTGATGTGATACCATTATAATACTATCGATGTGATACAATTATAAATACTTACTGGTGTCAGATTTCTACAAGTATTCATTAAATCTGACATTCTGTCTACAAATCCTGGAGCAAAACAGTCTGGGTCGACAGCAATGAAACACTGACCCTACAACAAGTCAGGAATTAAAGGATATTTCTAACAGTGAAACATACATAAATAATCTATAACATGCTGTCACAATTTTTTTTTCTTCAAATTTTTCTTCCACTTTGTTTGCTTTATCCAAAAATTTACTTTCATTTTAAAATTTTGTTAGAGAATCTATGCCTGAAATTTAGTTTTGTGAACTAGTTTTTATTTTCTTATTAAATATTCTCAATATTCTCTGTGTTTTAGCTCATCTGGCCCTAAGGGCCAGTATAAGCTTTTATAAATATTTTGTTCTGATGACTACAGTTTAATTGTCAAACTTGCCAAGTTTTGTAAAATTTTTCTGTCTGTTATGAATTAGATAAATTTTGTCTGTTATAAATTAGATTTGCCTTCCACTGCAAATTCCATAAAACTTTATACAACTGAATATGTAACCATGTCATTCCATTCATCTCATTGTTTTGTATATATGTTATTGTTGTTATTACTGTTTATATTCACATACCCCTGATGGGGACTAAGAAATAAAAGTTTCAAGTTTTTCTTGGCTTCTGTCAATTTCATTCTTTGTCTTGTTTAAACATTAAAAAAATCTGCTCTTAAACCACTGGACCAATCAAAACTAAACATATCCACAATCATCCTTTAGATTGTCAAGTACAAAATGATGAATCTTGTTTAAATATTATATCCAATTATGAACATAAAGAGCTCTGAAAAATCAAAACTTTACATTATAGGTATATATGTTAATTGTACAAAGATGCAAGGTGAGCAATACACTCTCCTCAGAGCCACTACTTTTTATAACAAATATATAAGAGTACCGATTACAAACCAGATTGGCAACTCTTTCTGTACTTTTCCATCTTCTAATGTTTGGGCCATAATCAGATCCTGCCAATATCCCACAAAATATTTCCACCATCATGGCTAATCCATAACCTTTATATCCACCTATTATGTAGATAATTTGTATGAATATAAGGTACTGCATTGTAAATTTATTTGAAACAAGTCATTTAATAAAAAGAGACAAAATGTTGTGCTTTAGATTGACCGTGGAGAGAAGGCGGTCATCTTCTAGAATTAAACCGCCTCAGTGGTCTCGTAGCATTTTCACCTACAGTGATGAAAGTTGTGAGTTGGAACCCGTGGCCGGTCAAACCAAAAACTTTTAAATTGGTAATTACTGCTTATCCACTAAGCAAACAGCATTAAGGAGTAAGAGTCAGAATAATGTGTCTGAGTAGGGTGGCATGTCTTCCTATTACCTCTCAGCATGTCAGTCTAGTACAAAGCAGGGTTAATATTCATATTACATAAACATGTTCTCGTCCTGAATATGCATTTAATTTGCCGCTAGACTAAGCAGCAATCCCTCATCATCATCTTCTAGAATTGGAATGATGTTGATCTCTGTTTGGTGTAATCACAGATTCTCTATTTATTCAAACATAACAGTGTTCACCAAAAATATGTAATGTGTTCTATGTGCTTCTTTTTTTCAATTACAATAACAAATTAAATAAACAGCACTTACACCTATTGGAGATTAAATAATGTGTTCATTCCTATTTATCAACTGTTGAAAGTTAATTGAAATATTTCACACAAGTTTTCTCTATCCTCAATTCAAAAATGTTTCCCAGTTAATTTCTTTGACATAGCCTTTCATTTTTGCAAAGCTGAGTTGATAGTAGATGGTAATTTTGCCCTGACTTTTGAATACACACTATGATTATAATATATGATACTGACCTGTCATTTCTGATCCTCCTAAAGGCATCAGTCCACCAGTTTCTATAACTGGTTTAGCAACATTACACATCTGTTAAGAGAACAATTTAACTATTATAATTTTCACTAAAAACTCAAAATAATGCCACTAAAGGGCAATAACTCCTATTGGAGTCAAATGAGGATTTCTGTTATCTAGACTTTTAACTAGATCTTATAATGGCAATCATTTTTGCAGTTTACAGTTTCTCTGTTTTCAATAAAAACACACAAAAATAGATAAAGATCATCACTGAAGGGCAAAATCTACCAAGAGTCAACTGATGATTTTGACCCAAGTTGACTTTAGATCTTATTTAGCTGCTCATTTTTACTGTTCACAGTTTCTCTGTAACTTCTATAGTTTTCTAAAAAAACATAAAAATGTAGAATATTGAAGGGCAATAACTCCTGTAAGGGGTTGACTGATAATTTTGGAGATGTTTACTTATTTACAGATTTTGTGTAGCTGATGATTTATGATATTCAAAATTTCTCTCTTTGACCTTTAATAAGTTTCAAGACTATAGCCATAACACAAAAAATTTGTAAAATTATCATTGAAAGGCTATAACTCCTATTAGGAGTCAACCAACTATTTCGGCAATGTTAAGTTATATGTAAATCTTGTCTTTTTGATCATTTTAGCTTCTTAAAGTTTTCCTCTATATATTATAGTTTTCAAGATAATAGCCTAAAATGCCAAAAACATTGGTACATTTTATCATTTTGAAAATAACTATTACTCCTTTAAGGGGTTGTCTGACAACTTTGTTCAAAATTGACAATAGGTAGATTTTAACTTTGTGATCATTTTTGCTATGACAGATTTTCTCCATCTATAATAGTTTATAACAAGATACTAGACATCAATTGGACAGTAAATAAACAATAAAACATCAGAAAAGACCTTTGGAAGTCAACTAATGGTCTTCAACAATAAACATATATTTACAACAAAATGAAGCTTGTTTATAAGAAGAAACAGAAGGACGCAGCTGGCACCTGGAAATAAAATGTGTAAATAACCTTTCCTTCACTGTCAACGCCCCAACCATCCGGTATTGAGATCTGTTTCCTGTCATGTAACTCAATCTATAAGGATAAAAGAAATCTCTTGAAATTTTTTAAATATAATATTTCCATGGTAAACTTTCTCTTTTAACACAAGATTGTCTTAAATGGTCATATGTGAAATACTGCAGAGTCAACTATTAATCTCTTATTATTATAAATTTTCTCAACTACTAATATACCCTAGCTATTTAATTGTTAGTGCAAAAATTAGATAATAAAATTAAAATAAATTCTATACCAAGTGCTTATAGTTGAAATTTAATTTTTAACTGTAGTCTAAATGAAGTAGACTGGAAATGTTCAATGAAACAGTGGTATAACAAAGGCAATAAATCACACAAAAGACAAGGTATAAATAAGTAGCAGTGTTAGCAGGATCAAAACTTAACCCCTGAAATCAATCCGATAATATAGCAATAAGGTAATATAAAGATATATGCATTGACTCCGTGAAATTTCTTTAATGTCTATAAGTGTTTTTAAAATGTCCTTTTTCTTTCTTTTAGAAAAAAAATAAAATAAAATGCTTCGCCGAGCGCAGCTGGATACGACCGCAGATGTCCAACCCTGAACAGTTGGGGCAAAAATGGACACAACATTCAAGCTTGATACACGTCTGAATTTGGATTGTAATTAAATATTTGACACATTATAGGTTTCTGACACAGAATAAATGTAGTCAAAGAACTTAAAATTGGTTATATGATTTGAATTTATATTCAATTGAAGATTTCTTGCTTTTGTGCAATACACTGTGCACTGTGATGTTGTGCATTACTTAGTAAATCTGTTTTCAGACAATATACAAAGAATTAGCAATTGTGACCCCCAAATTTTCTTTGGAAAATTGACAATTTCTTAAATCTTGCAGAAAAAAATTGACACATCAATACAATTAAACACGAGTTATTGTCTGAAAACTAGAAAAATGCTTGTTTTATACCCTTTTTGGCCCCTAATTCCTGAACGGTTTGGGCAATTACCCCCAATATGAATCCCAACCTTCGACTTTTGGTATTGAACCTTGTGGTACAATTTCAGAGCAATCAAAATACTTATACACAAGTTATTGTCCTGAAACAAGAAAAATGCTTGTTTGGGCCCCTTTTTTTAAACGATAGGGACCATAACCCCCAAATACAATCCCAAACTTCCTTTTGTGGTATTGAACCTTTTGCTTAAATTTCAAAGAGATCCATACACTGAAACTTAAGTTATTGTCCGGAAACCAAATGTCTTCGGACGACAGCGCAGATGATGACAACATGATAGCATTATACGATCCCCAAATTTTTTTTGCGGCCGTATAAAAATCATAAATATCAAAAGATAAAACTAATGATATATAATGGCTTCATTCTTCAAGATTCTCAATTTCTGTTAAGATTATATTAATAGAGGCGGATCCAGCCATTTATATCCTAACCCAGGATAAAGGGGGGGTTCCAACTATATGTCCCCATTCAAATACATTGATCGTCAAAAAAAAAAGGGGAGGGCCCCCGAACCCCACCTGGATCCACCACTGATTAATCCTCCCACTGCTTTAGGAGGATGCATAGTTTGGAAGTGCAACTTTTTAATCTGATGAACAATACATAAATAAAAGGCTGAATATAATGAATCAGGCCGTTAGTTTTCTCTTTTGAATTGTTTTAAATTTGTCATTTTGAGGCTATTTACAGCTTACAATGCAGTAAGGGTTTTCTTATTGTTGAAGGCTGTATGGTGGCCGTATAGTTGTAAATGTCAATGTGCCTTCATTTGGTCTTGGATGGAGAGCTGTCTCATTGGCAATCATACAACTTCTTCTTATTCATATATTTACAGAAATAAACAAAGATATTGGACAACAACCATCAATACCTGACCACTTTGAGAAAAATAGATGTATAAACAACAAAGAACAACACATGGTCCAGATAGTCTCCATCCCCCTTTTTTGACTATCAAGAACATGTCGTAATAGCAATATACATTTAGGCATGGAAATATGGGAATGTTTATAAATTAAACCTTATAAAAAGTAGGCATGCATTACAATATGTCTCAGAGAATTTCTCAAAATCTATTTAATAGTAATTACTGTAAATTCAGAAATTATTGTGATGTTCTTATTAATGCCATAAATGAGACAGTATCAGGTTCGCAAAAATAAAACTTGCATTCGTAACTTCAGTAGTGATTTTCCTTCATAAAATGTTTGTAATTGCATTTATAAGATTTCGCATTATTGTTATGGTATAAGATTCTGAATAAAATGCATGCATTAACATGAAATTACATGAAATTACAGTAGTTTCTGAGGAAGATGAACTAACCATTACTGCCATTACTTGCAAACATCTTTTCCTTTTGAAAAAGGATTAAAGAAAATTAGAAAGAAGTAAAGGATAACACAAAAACATGCCAACAAAACCAACATACTTTACCAAGAGCTACAGTAGTTGTGGCCATATCTAGCACAAAACTATCCTTGTCTTTAGCAGGTACAGCCAAACTTAAAGGATTTGTTCCCAGTGTAGGCTGAAAGTACAATAGTTTAAGATAATAAGGTATTACTCAAATCAAATAAAACAACTTTACAGTGTTACATTTGACCATCTTCAAGGAAAAATCATATGTTAAAGTGAGGGACCATAAAGAAAAATGTTATTGTGATTCAAATAGTGTTATTAAATGTCAACGGATGATAATAGTCTTATTTGTCTCCAAATATTAGAAACAAATTTAAACTTTTTCGCAACATTATATATATTTCATAGATATGATGAGGAGATACCTAATGACATTTAGAATACTTAAATAAATGTCTAGTTCAATGGTTATATGACATGGTTAGGATCACTTAAATCTTAGGATTAAACAGGTTTTTAATTTACCATTTCTGTTTTGCTGATCTCATAACAATAATAGGACTTTCAATATAGAACCATGAAACAGGTCTGTAAATAATAGAAAACTATATACCTTTCTTGCTCTGGTGGGAACTTGAAGTGGAGAAGTGTTGGTGAAGGATAAACCCTAAAATAAAATAATACATTAATCATTCTGATCAAGATTTTCATGCACCATGGCTTTTGTTTCAGCTCCTAAACTATTATTTTTCAATATCTTCAGTAGTTTAAAATTTGATTATTTTTGAGTGCATGTATTTAATCTAAGATTTTGTCTCTTTATTTTCCTTTTTCCAAATTTATGAGCCTAGTTTTGTCTCTTACACTCTATGAATGCAGTAAATCTTTTCCCTGTGTTTTATGCTCAGTGGGTTATACATAGCATTCAAAATCATTAATCTTTAATAAGTTTGACCTTAAAATCAACAAGCATTCTGAGAGTATTGCATGGCAATACATAGTCCCTACCGGTTAAAAATTCATTGTACTGGAACAAAAAGCTAACTTGATCTATAACTTGTCATGATGTAAACTTTATAACAAATATCAAGTCAATATCTTCAAGCATGACGAAAAAAGTGTGGAAAACTGATTATTTGAGTGAATTTTCTAAGTCCAAGGACCATAACTCTGCACAATATCATCAGACCAAAATAAAATTCGAACTTGATCTGTTACTTAGCACGATAAAACTATATGCCAATTATCAAATCAATATCTTCAAGCATGATGAAAAAAAGTGTGGAAAACTTATTATTTAAGTGAATTTTCTAAGTCCAAGGATCATAACTCTGCACAAAATCATCAGACCAAAACAAAATTCGAACTTGATCTGTAAAACAATACACCAAATATCAAATCAATATCTTCAAGCACGAAAAAAAAAGTGTGGAAAACTGATTTGCCGGACTGACGGATGGACAGACAGACAGACAGACAGACAGACAGACAGAGTGCAAACTTAAAGTCTCCTTCCACTTTGTCGGTAGGGGACTAATTAGCATCTTCCTCAATCCATGGGGCAATGCAATACTAATTCAAATAAGTTACTTAAATCCACATCATCATTTGGACTCTGGTGTATATTGTCTAATTGCAATCACATCATATCTCCTTATTTTTATATTTGTGAAGATATAAAAAAAACCTGAAATAAATTAGTCTAAAAAATGATATGTTGACCTCCAGACACCTTAGATAACATACATCATATATAAGCCAAGTGGGTTAAAAATCAAGTATTAACTGAATCATGATAGATATGATAAGGGACTAATTCCCTGCTTGTAACTAAAATTCAAGTATACTAATGTAGCATTAAACATGTAGTAGTATATCAAATGTTAATCTTTGTCAGGTGTTAGTGAAGAAACCACCACTGCTGAAAAATTGTCATTTTCAATCTATTTTTCCTTTTCAATTTGACCTTGAATATTGACAAAACAGTGCTTCTTTGACATTCAATTATTACCTTATAGTTAGTTACAGCACCTCATCCATGTTGGCTGGCAGTAAATGCAACTTCATTGTCCTGCTCAAGAAACATTAATGGCAAGCCAGGTCTGTCAAAACGTCTGTTTTTACAGATTTCTAACCAAACAGTGACCTAGTTTTACAGACCACAATCTATCTGGCCATAGAATACCTACAGGCAGAATTTAGGGCCAATGGGTTAACATTTGATTACATTCAAACTTACAAGAAGGCCTTGGTCTACTGCTTTCATGGCATACCACCCAGCAATTCCATAATGATTTGAACCTATGAAAATGTATTTATAATTAATATTAACATGTACTCAGAATAAAAGTATAATAACACAAATCCATACCCTCTTACCCATTGAAGTTAAATTGTCTAAGAATATAACATGCTAACATAGTTTTTTTAATTAAATAGAGAATACATTGTAAACCCATTTTTACAGGTTTTAGCCACAAGAACTTATTATTTCAGTCTGCAGTTCTCTTTCATCATTATCATTTTCTTTATCCCAATTTTCTACAAATTAATATTTTCTTGTTATGATGTGCATTGCCTTTGAATTTTGTTTTTTTTCTCAATTACTTAGTTAAGGTATAGTGTTATTGTGTATTTATATGTAGCATTGTGTAATTATGTGTAATATTATGTTATCATATGTAGTATTGTATAAATAGATGTAGTATATCATCATGAGGTTTGCAGGATAATGAAGAAGTGGATATTTGCATAAATTTGTTCCTAAATAGCTTTTTTTATTGTCATGTGTGCAATGTTGTAAATTTCAACTAATAAAATTGTATATAATATAAACACTTTTTGCAGCTACCCAACCAACTCCTGTTTGTTTGGCTTTCTGTATAGCTATCTCCATGCTGTAGTCACCAACAACTGGTCCAAGCACATTCTGACCATCTACCAAAGCTGTAGCTTGGCTCTCCTTTATAGTGATGGGGTCTCCATCTCTCTCTGTTATACCAGAATCTATATCTCTTACATACATATCTACAAAAAGAATGCCCTGCAGTGAAAATCTTTTCTGAATACAAATAATCATGATTACACAATGTATAATGTCCTGAAACACCAGTATTTGACAATAGGGTATGATGAACTCTATGGGTCAATTAAACAATTTTAGAAACAGCAACGTTAACTTTATCAATGGAATGAAACAAACATAAATAATCATTTAAGTTTTACCGAGTCTGTTCAATCCATGACTGTAATGTCCTCTGTAGTCTGCTGTAGATAAATTGTCTGCCAATTTTTCTGCATGATCTTGGCGTGTTTTAACTGATGACATGCATTCAATTATAAACCTTTTCACTTCTTTCCGTGGGACAAGGTCCCATGATTCAGTTGATTCGGTTGACGAGTGTCTTTTGCATCTGTACTTTGTCAAACTATTGATAATTCTTGAGAAAATACGACGTTCTGATCTGACCATTTTCTTCTGCTCTTTGGCTCTTTTAGGGGACTTAACAAAACCATAGAGAACTCCGAATGACAAACATAATAATAAGAAAACACCATCGGATTTTTTTCCGGAAATAATATCTAAAATGTTGTTTTTCTAATCATTTCACAATGAGGTGATAAATTCGAATGCCGACAACGCTGATTGTAAAATCCGGTTAAACTTAAATAGGTGATTAGACTGCAATGAGTAAGTTATGTTTTAAAGAGTAATTTGTCAAAGAAAATAAAGTTATAGCGTGAGAACCCAATTTTTTTTAACAGTTTGTTTTCCTCCTTCGTTCATTTAAGAAACAGACAAAGGTGTCTATTCTGTGTATATTATGTAGACGTATCACAATTTACTATAAAGATCCACAATTTGAGATTGAATTCATACTGAATCATAGAAAGATAGGTTTGAACCGACCTCCAGACGACCCAAGATTCTGTAATGCTTAACTACGGTACATATCCGTAAAAAATTGATTAACTGGTGATTTATTGTTTTTTTATTTTTTGTTTTTTTTTCTCACGATTTTTTGAGCAATTTGATATTAGTATGCTTTTTCTGCATTTTGTAAGAAAAAGATGCCGGTGTCATATTATAATTGCTCGTGTTTTATTGACGTCGGATGCGACATTTCAGTAAATTTAAGTTATATTTTTGCATTGTTGATATATAGTGTGAACGTATTGGCAGAGGCGGATTTAGAGGGTTTTTCAGGGGGCCTGGGCCCCCCCTTTTGTGGGAAAAATTTGGTTGATTATATAGGGAATCAATGAAGCATGACTGAAACGGGGCCCCTCTTAGGCAGTCAGTGCACCCCCCCCCCCCCCCCCCCTAATGAAAATTTCTGGAACCGCCACTGATTGTATATTTTTAAGTATATTTGACTATGTTGACAGACTTGCATAATGACAAGTGATATAAATTCGAATTGTTTAGACTCTAAGAAAACCTATAAGATTTCCGTTGTTGTTGTTTTTTTTTTATCAAAATATAGGCGCAGTGCTATTAATTGGGTATTGCGCGGTTAGAGTACAAGGGAAAAACAGCTGTTGAGTCCCAAACTTCTTTACATGCACCAACGCCATCTGTGGAATATTCACGTAGAGGGACATGACATCCATGGAGACAAGTGGAGTGTCGATAGGAACATGATTTAAGGCCTGCATTTTTCTAACGGTAATCAGTGGTGTCTTTGATGTGAGGTGGTAACTCTTTAACATTTTGACGAAGGCGAATTCCAAAATTTCAGTCGGATGACAATTCGCTGAAACGATGGGTCATCCTAGATTATTCAAATAATCTAATTTCGAATATTCATGAGTTTTGTCATCGATGAAACCATCTTTTTGCATTCCTGCCAAACTAGCCATTTTGTCGTTTTGGTCTCTGGTGGAGAGCTGTCTCATTGACAATCATACCACATCTTCTTCTTTTCAAGTTATATAGCCCTTATTTCTGTGCTATGTTTATGTGGGATCAGAATCTAGTTTCGGTAGAACCTTGCATCGCCAAGTTGACGTTCAGCCTAGATCTTGAATGTAAGCATTTTTATCCATGATGACCAATGATTTAATATATATGTGTTTGTGTATTTTTGTTTAATTAATTTTTCAAACATATATAGTTCCAGAGGACAAGATAATAAGTTATTGTGTACCAATTCAAGGAAGATGCACACCTGTGCCAAAATCGTTCACCTACTGAAAAAAATCAACAGTTTGCTAATTAGGACTTTTATATGCATATACTATTGTTACTCTTTGTGTTGCTGGTCATATTGAAGTCTACATGATTAAAATAGCCCCTATGGTTTTTTAATATAACAGCCGGGCAAAACTGAAAAAGCCACTAAAAACCAATATTTCAGGGGCAATAACTCCAAAACGTGTTGTCAAACAGCAGATAGCTATTTCCATGCTTATAATTTTTGTAGTTAATAAATATAAGCAGATGTGGCATGAGTGCCAATGAGACAACTCTCCATCCAAGTCAAAATTTGTAACACTACATTAACCTAGATCCTATAGTTTTCAAAACAACAGCCCCAAAATGCGAAAAAATTAGGAAAATGTTCATTTCAGGGGCAATAACTCAAGAACAAGTAAACAGATTTTTCTGAAATTTTCGGAGTAAATCGATATTTCACGGTCGATAACTCCAAAACAAGAGGCTATATTTTTCTCCATTTTTTTTTGTTTTTGTATGGATACATCATGCTGATCATTTTTACGATTTACACTTTTACCCTAGCTCCTATAGTTTTGGAAACAACGGCAAGAAAATATCAACTTAAAAGTTAAAAATCAACATTTCAGGGCCATGACTCCATAACAGGTTGACGAATTCTCACAAATTATCAGGGTCGATAGAACGTGTTATTCTGACCATTTTTACACTCAGTTTTTCTCTAATTTCTTTTAGTTTTCGAAATATTAACCAAAACTCTAGTTTGATCCCTATGTTTTTGTTTTTAAACACGGCGGTCATGTTTGCTCATCAACCTGAACGAAAATCCCATACTTTATAGTCGATATCCTATAGATGAAACAGACACCCTTTGGTTTTAATCCATTGAGCAGTTTCTGACATAGAAGATTTTATAAGAAAACTTCACTGACGACGACGGTCGCAAAATGATGGCAAAAGCCAGGTGAGCTAAAAACAAAAGAACCCAAAATAAAACACCCGAAACCGTCTTCTTTGCCGGAGTTAATTAGACAAAAAATCTAAAGTTAAGGAACTAGAAATTCCACCAGTACCATTGTTCCCTCAAGTCATGGACTTAAATGTCAGTCCAACAACAGCGGTACAGACCCAGTGGTGTTGAAAAGTATGGTATGAATTCCGTTCGCACAACACGTGTCTTTGGAACAACCTTCATTAGCTACCATCGAGACCAAATTTTTGGCAAGCTTAACATGTTAAACGGTTAAGAATACAAATAGTTATTGTTCCAATTTAGGGTAATTGATGTGCAATATGAAATTCATATTGACAGACATGAAAAAGTTATTTTAGAACATAATTAAACAACGAAACTATAAACTGTTCATATGTACTTATACATCTCAAAAATTCAGAATCACAAACGAGTTACAGTAACCACTGTAATTGTAAACACTTATTAAAATTTCTTCTATAACTTATATACTTTCAGCAAAGACACATTTTTAGAATATATATAACCATATATATTTTGCATCATTTGTTAGGTCTGAATAAATGAATATTGGTTACCTAGCTGAAGAATAGCAACATCTAACATGGGCAGCGTTGAATCATAGATGTATAAACCCATGGGTTTATATATCTATGGTTGAATAAAACAGTTAAATCCCGCCACATAATGCCAGGAACCAGTGAGAGACATTCTTCTGTGGCTCAATTGCATTATAAATATACTAAGGACAGGAAGTTCTACATTTCCCCTAAAAATATGAATGAACTGAAATATGATCTTTGACGTTTTAGTGTTGTAGTTTGCCATCCACAACACCCTACGCTTCAAAGGAATGAAGGTATATGTCTCATTGGTAATCACACTTAGATTCCAATGAAAAAAACATCCACTAGAGACATAATTAAGGACGTGGATGTGAAACGCTTAATAAATTTGTTGCGTCCGAAGCGCTTTTTTTTTAATTACCTTCATCAGAAACGTTCATACTACAAAAAAAAAAGCCAAGGATGTACTGTTGACCATCTATTCTTATTTTTCACGAACAACACATTTTCGAAAACTGGGACTTTTCCGTTTTGCACTACCCTATTGTTTGTGTATAGCATGTCACACTTGATATCGTGTCTATAAAGCAACCACAGATGAAAGTATTTAATGATAATTTCAATGCAACTTAGATACATCTTAAAATGTTTATTATATTCTCTTCAGGATTCAGACAGACTTTTGTCCTCGTTCTTTATGAAAAACTCCACGAATAAATAAAAGTATGAATTTTAATGTCGTAAGTGATAGCCAAACTTTATTAAGGTTGTCAGTTCTTTCTGCGTTCACACACAAACGAGACAGTGGCATTACAGAGAGCATAGTTCCATTTCAAATCCTTTCTCTGAACCATTTCTAAACACCAATCTTCATAATTTCCACCAGGAATTGGTAACGGGTTCCCTGTATTCCAGTTTTGGAAACTGATAGGGTATCCAGTAGACTTCCAAATGAAATCATTACTGTGTCCATAACCTCCAATCCAAAAGAATTTATCTAGAAAACAAAATGTCAATGTATAAATCTGATTTCAAATCAAGTAGTCACAGAAGCTAGATTCTCTCTCTCTCTCTCTCTCTCTCTCTCTCTCTCTCTCTCTCTTGTTATACAGAAAATACCGAAATATGAAACAAAGCTCTGACTGTAACCATCACCTTAAATGTATTGACATCTCTACTACAAATTTGTATAAAAACTTACTAGTTTCTTCTGCACATATGTGTTTCGTTAACTTGTAGAAACATAATTTCCAGTCGTTTGAATTAAAGAGAACGACTTTTCAGAGCAAATTATTACAATTGTAATGATGCCCATTTGAGAAAACGAACAAAATTGTCTTTTGAAAACGCCTAATTTAATACAAGCGATATGCCATGTCTTATTTTTTTTTTCTCCCTGAGTTTTAAAAGTTTGAAGTACAAACAAAATAAAAATAAACAAAATCGACCTGTAACAGGATGTCCTCCATACTAATTTTTAGTTTTAGATCTATTGAATTTGAAGTAGAGATTACAAGGAGCATGTGTTGCTTACCTGGTTTTTTTCCCAAACAAACAGAAATATAATAAAATGCTATAAGCATAAGTGTGTTGAATAGAAACTGTGTGGTCTAAACTCTGTTTAACTGATCATTTTGGCTCGACCAAGTTTCTGTGTTATCCATTATAGTTCTAAGATAAGCAGACATGAAGAAATGGGTGAAAATTTGTGATTAAGTAAGAATAACAAACCGTGTTAATTCAGCAAATACGGTAATATACTCCATACCTGGGAGTGTTAGCTGACC